AGAGAGAGAGAGATTACGCATGACGCGGATGTCGTACGGCGCTGGATGTCTCAAGTGATCAGTGTAAAAATTGCCAGATTTAGTAGAACCAGTAAATTGGCCACGATCATTTTGGTGAACCATGTTGGGGTGACGCCAATTTTACCTTTTATCAGGTTCAGTGACTGACGACCTACTACTGCATTCTCCCTTTCTCTCACAGCTTGTCCACCACCCCTGTAAAAGATGTTCACCCCTCCAACAACCCGTGTAAAAGATGTTCACCCCTCCAACAACCCTGTATAAGATGTTCACCCCTCCAACAACCCGTGTAAAAGATGTTCACCCCTCCAACAACCCTGTATAAGATATCCCTCCAACTTGTTTAAGACGTCCACCCCTAAAACCATCTTGTATTTAACGTTCACACCTCCCTCCAACCAGCCGGTCTAAGATGTTCATTCCTCCCTCCAGCTACCCTGTAGAAGACGTATTTCTCTCCCTCCAACCACCCTGTATAGGACGTCCATCCCTCCCCAATCACTCTGTCTAAGACGCCCATCCCTCCCTCCAGCCACCCCGTCAAAGACATTTATCCCTCCCCCAACCATCCCATCAAAGACGTTCATCCCTCCCTCCAGCCACCCTGTATAGGACATTCACCCCTCCCTCTCTCCAACCTCTATAAGACGGCCGTCCCTCCCTCTAACCACCCCGAATAAGTCGTTCATCCCTCCCTCCAAACTGTGTAAGACGTTCATTCCTCCCTCCAACCATCCTGTATAAGACGTTTTACCCTCCCTTCAACCACCTTGTACAAAATGTTCACACATCCAACCAACCACCTTGCCTATGACGTTCACCCTTCCCTCAAACCACCTTGCCTAAGACGTTCATCCCTCTGGCCAACTAGAATAAGACGTTCAACCCTCCCCAACCACCCTGTCTGAGATGTTCGTCCCTCCCCCCAGCTATCCTGTATAAGACGTTCATCTCTCCCTTCAACCACCTAGTATGAAACATCCACACCTCCCTCCAACCATCCCGTCTAAGACGTTCATCCCTCCTTCTCTCCAACCTGTATGAGACATGCCCCCCTCTGGCCAACTTATATAAGACGTTAAACCCTCCCCAACCACCCTGTATAAGACGTTCATCCCTCCCCAACCACCCTGTATAAGACTTTCAACCCTCCCCAACCACCCTGTAAAAGACGTTTATCCCTCCCCCAACCACCCTGTATAAGATGCACATTCCTCCACCCACCCTGTCTAAGACGTTCATCCCTCCCCCAACCACCATGTATAAGATGCACATTCCTCCACCCACCCTGTCTAAGACGTTCATCGCTCACCTGGGTTCCTGGGTATGACGACCTGCTTGGCGCCGGTGCTGGTCCGGCCCATGGTGGAGGCTGCCTCCCTATGCTCCCCGTTACTCACTTGGTGACTGCCGTTGACGGTAGGGGGCGTGTCGGGGGCGGAGCGTGTCTTGTGAGGGTAGTAGCCATTGGTCGACACCACTTCAGACTGCAGAAAGAGGGCGTGGCATGACGTGTTAGTGGCCAAAAGGAGTTCGATGTATTTCTGATATGTATATTATTAAAATGTGTAGGAAGCAGAATGAAAGACAACTTGTAATTACGGTCGGACCTACTCCAACAACCACCAGTCCAAGACAATTACCTACGACCACTTCTCACCCCCGCCCTCTCTCTCTCTCT